GAGAGAGAGAGAGAGAGAGAGAGAGAGAGAGAGAGAGAGAGAGAAAGTGCTGTGTCCCACCACCCAGCTAGCTTATGCCTGAAAGAATCACACGGAAATGGTATTAATTAGATTACTGCCTGGCCCATTATATCTAGCCTCTTTTTGGCTAATTCTTACATCTTGCTTTAACCCATATCTAGTAATCTGTGTAGCACCATGTGATTGTGGCTTACTGGCAAGAGTCTAACCTATGTCCATCTCAGGCAGGAGACTCATGGCGTCTGCCACACTTCCCTTCTTCCCAGCATTCCGTTCTGTCTACTCTGCCCACCTATGGGCTGCCCTATCAAAAGGCCACGGCAGCTTCTTTATTTAATCAATGAAATCAACACAAATACAGAAGGACCTCCTATACCAGTAACCCATCTCATGGCCACATCAGTCCAGTCTCTCCTCCTGTTACTGTACTGTGTTCTTCATGTGCACCTTGCTTTCATGTGGACACCTTTTAAAAGGACACAACCAAAGCAAGGAGATGATTCTGTGTATACAAACTCTTGCTGCTCAAGCCCAGTGACCCGAGTTTGGATCCCCAGGACTGGGCACAGTAACATAGTATTTATAATCCCAGCACACCCACGGGAAAGGGGAGGTTGGGAGCAAAGATAGGAGATTGCTGGCCAGCTAGCTTAGTTTATAACTGGTGGGAAGACCCTGTCACAGAGAAGGCGTGAAGGAGAGCAGCTCTGACACCTGAAGGTTGTCCTTTAACCTTTCTTACACACTACCAGTGGGCTAAATCCCCAATCCGCAATGTAGGTTTATATAGATCTATATTCTAATCCACAAGCAAACCACTCAAAATAGTCAAGCCTCAACTTTCCAGTCATCTGGAGAAATGGATTTATATGTCATAATTTGCAGTTACTCTTTCTTGACCCCATGTTACCCTTTAACTCACAGCACTTCAGTTTTCTTGCCCATATATTGCAAGAAAGTGTTGTATAGCATCACTCTCTGTCCCTCTTCGCTGTTTCCCTTCAAATCAAAACTTAGCAGACTTTCAACCAGTCAGCCTTCTTCAGTCAGAGTTCGGTTTTCAGGCACCTTGAGTGATCCACTGGTGGCCTTTGAAATAATTTAGCATGATCTCTGGGCCTTTCCTTAAAATCCCTTTTTAACTTGACTTCTAGAGAATCTCTTCTCCCCATGTTTACCCCTCCTCCTCCTTCTTCCTACCCCTCAACATCATAACTTCAGAACAGCAAACCAAGCGTCCCAGAGCATGTTTTGCTGACTTCTGAACTCTGTTGATCCTTGTGGTTTGCCCTGCAGTGAGCATCCTCAGGCTGATCTCACTGTTCCTATCTCCAACTGCCCTTCCCAACACATTTATGGGGATGAGCGCAGTCATTCCAAATCTCAAGTGTCTGAGATATTTATATTGAAAGGTGCCTAAGGATATTTGTAAAATGCACCTCTTAGTATGTCTGTGAGAGCAACCAGGGATGCCTAACTGAAGGAGGTTGGGGAACCTGCCCTGAGTGTCATCACAAAATCCCATTGGCTGGAGTCCTGAATGAAATAAGAGAGATAAGAGGAGAGAGCCGGCCAGCGCAGGCACTTCCCTGCTTTCTGCCCACCATGAAATAAGCAGCCTCCCCTTCCATGGGCTCCTGCTAGCATGGTAGTGAGCATCTATTTGCGCCCAAAGTCAGACAGTCAGCTCACATGAGTCTCAACTCTCAACCCATAAGTCAAAATGAATCACTCCTTCTTCTAAACTGTTTCTGTCAATGAGAATGTGATCAACCAAACCACACAGAACAAAAATGGTACCAGACAGATACAGTCACTGTTGTAGCCAGATTTGACTGTAGTTCTTTTTTTTTCAGTGCCTAAGACAAAATTTTTTGTTGCTTTATAAATAATACTATTCAAAATTTCCATTCCGTCCCCTCCTCCCATTTCCCTCCTGTTTCCTCCTTCCCTTCCAGTCCTAAGAGAGGGCAGGGTGCCCTGCCCTCTGGGAAGTCCAAGGTCCTCCCCCATCCATTCAGACTTAGGAAGGTATAGTTCTTAAACCTCTGAGGCTCACCTGTAGTAATAATCTGGAAAAGTATGAAGGTACAGGCTAGAACAGTTCTGGAATGTTACATGAAAGGCTTAAAATGTACTTTTGTTTTAATTATGTAATATCTGAGTATGTATGGTGGGGGTATGAGCACTTGAGTACAGGTACCTGGGGTCATCTGGAGCTGGAATTATAGGCGGTTGTGAGCTGTCCATGCCATGAGTGCTGGGGCCGGAACTTAGGGCCTCTGGAAGAAAAGCTCTGGACACCAAGCTCAATGGGCCAGTTCTGGTGAGAGCTCAGAAGATCAAACTGTCATTAGAAATGATTGGGTTAAGGAATCTGAGAAGAAGACATCCATGTTCCAGCCTGGCAAAGAACTTGGTTACATTCTGCTCGTATCCAGAGCCTGCCCATATCCAGAGGCTGAGATTTAAAGTAAAAATCAAATTAATCTTGTGAAGGGACTGTCAAGACAGCCTTCATTACGGGTTTTACTGGTTGCTTTAGTAAGGTTTTTGGGAGCCGAGAGCAAAAAGGATGGAAACCTTTGATGTTTGCACAGAAGGGTCTGTGAAACTTTGAGGCTGAGGAAGGCTTGCTTTCTGAAGAGATTGCCACTATTAACTAAAAGCCATGTGTTTTGTCTTTGGGACCATAGGAAAAGTCACCTTGGGAACTGGGTAGGACTCACCCAGTGCATACTCAAAGGTATCAAAGAATAAAAGCATTTGAGAGTCTCTCCCCTCTGAAAGGAGCCTCCAGGGTATCCTGCCTGTGCAGAAGACCTCAGAAACTGTTTCTCAAGATTCTTTTCACTATGCTCAGTCATATAGGTACTAGAGGCCAGTGTGGCTGTGGTCTAAGGGAACCTGGCCACCCCTGAAATTGGCAACAGACCTTGGCTTCATCCACTCAACAGCAGTTTTGTAGGCATGCAAACTATAAGAGCTAATGGGGTGGTGTGTTTTAGGAAGCTGCTTGTTTGTCCCAGCCTCCCAGAACCAAAATAATCACACAGAAATCATAGTATTTACAATACTGTTTGGCCAATATCTCAAGCATATTTCTAGCTAACTCATATCTTAAATTAACCCATCTCCATTAATCTGTGTATCGCCATGAGGCTGTGGCTTACCGGGTAAAGTTCCAGTGTCTGTCTCCAGTGGGTCTACATGACTTCTCCCTGACTCGGCCTCCTTTCTTCCAGCATTCAGTTTAGTTCCCCCCACACACACCTGCCTAGATCTGCTCTACCCTATCACAGACCTAAGACAGTTTCTTTATTAACCAGTGGTATTTACAACATACAGAGGGGAATCCCACATTAGTGGTGGAGGCTTCCATCCAAATTCGTGAGGTCAGACAGTGTGACATCCTTGTCATTCCCACAGGCAGTTCCTGACAGTCCCTAGTTGGAGATGTCAGGGGGTAGCAACTTTCAGGAATGTAGACTATCTGCCAAGAATGACCCTGGAGCCAGCTCAAGAGAGGCTGTTCAGGTTGAAGACTTCAAGGCCATCCCTTGGCGCACGGGGCCCACATCCCACCACCACAATATGCCTTAAATACGAAGAATATTTCTGTAGGGTTCAACATTTGTCTTGAAAGCTTTCTCATTTTTCTTTCCTCATCCTTCTCTCTTGAAATAAGAGTGTTTATTCTGTGTTACTGTGCCTCTAAAGTATTTAATTTGATCATGTTTACAGCTAAGACTTTGCCTTCAATCTCAGAAGAAACTGTTTAGACTGTTAAGACTTTGATGAACCTTAGAGATGGACTCAAGGTGTTTTGCAGTGCTGGGGGGAGGGGGCACTCCATAGTGGTTTGGTTTAAGGTTGAATGTCAAATTGACAAGCAGTGGACTTTGATGCTTAGTCATGGTTGTCAAGTTGACTAAGAAATGCCTAAAGAGAAAACCAAAGCAAGAAGAGGAGGAGGAGGAGGAGGAGGAAGAGGAGAAGGATAAGGAAGAGGAAGAGGAGGAGGAGGAGAAATACCCAGAATTACCTGGGTAGTGGTGGCACACGCCTTTAATCCCAGCACTTGGGAGGCAGAGGCAGGCAGATCGCTGTGAGTTCGAGGCCAACCTGGTCTTCAGAGCAAGTTCCAGGACAAGATCCTAAGCAACAGAGAAACCCTGCCTCGGGGAAAAAAAAATAAGAAAATAAGAAAAAAAAAGAAAAGAAAAGGAAGAAAATAAAAGCCTAAAGACAAAGCATGGAGACTAGTAAAGAAAGCCCCTAAGTATTTCCAGGGAGGATTAAGGGGAAAATACCTACTCTGGGTGGGGCAGCACCATCCCATAGGTTGGAGGCCTATATGAAATAAAAGGGGAAAACATGCCAGTATTAGGCATTCTCTCTAAACTCCTCAGTAACTGAATAGAGGATGCTCAAGTAGTTGAGATGTCAGGCAAGGACTCAAAAATCTAGTTTTTGTTGTTGTTGTGTTGTTTTGTTTTGTTTTTCAAATCAGTAACCTTAAAGGGAATTCGAAAAAGCAAATGAAATAATGAAGTGAATAAAAGACCAGAAAACCAACCCAGAAATCCAGCAAGGAAAGCAAGATTTCGGAAAACCAAACGAACAGAACCGTAGGAAACGAAAACGCAGTGGAAAGCATCACCTGTAAATGGGACCAAGCAGGGCTGGGGAAACAGGATGGGGGGTGGGGGGGTCGACCATGTCAAGGACTGAATGTAAAAATCAAAGCCATAGCGCATTCATCTGGCAACATTTTTAAGAACTGAGCATGGATCACTGTAACTCAGGAACAGAAGGGCGGGCCAGGAGCCGCCTTCAGATGCCGCCATGAGTGTGCAGGGTGAAGGGGCAGATCTTGGGCTGCTCCGAAGAAAGAGCAGAGGAACACAGGAAGTCATAAAGGGAGCCACACTCCTCCCAAGTATGGGAAAACCCTTTTTTTCATACAGTACCTGATAGTCACCACTGATAGGAGGAATGTGTGGATCTCGTTTTATTACGTGTAGTTCTTACATATGAGAATTAAACCTGCTCTGTGCTTAGCTGCCACTCTGTAGTTTTTCCCTGCATCCTATTGGACACCCTATGTGAGGTATATGTCAATGAAGTTTATATTAACAGCATGAGATGGTCGTGTATCTCGGTCCTTTCATTGCCTCATGTGCCATCGCACTTTCCGTTCCCTTGCCCTGTCGCTGCTGATCGCCACTCTTCCCTGCTCAAGTCAGTTCTGGAAACCCCGTCTTCTCGACTGACTGGCTCAGGTCTCCCACCTGAGCATGCACATTTCTTCTGTGCCTCAGTTATGTGTTGTCTGTCATCTTTAATTTCGTTAAGGCCCATCCTCTCCCTTGTTGCAAAACATCGCTTCTATTGTGTTTTTCTGTTTTTGCTCCCCCCTCCCCTTTGAAAAGAAGTCAGTTTTATTTATCAAAGTTTCTCCTTTTATTTAGTTCCATCCTTTCGACCTTGTGTCACGAGCAGTCCGTCCCTTCCACCCCTTCTCTATAATTTTGCTGGCCCGTGTCTGCTTCTTAGTGTGATGATCTAATTTATTCTTACCCTTCTTTGTCTTCACTAAACGCTATAAATGACGACTGAGTAAGGCATTTGCATTAGGACCTGAGTTCAGAAACCCAGAACCAATGCAAAGTCAGAAACAGAAGCACATGCCTGTAATTCCAATGTTCTATGGCAAGATAGGCGGTCAAGACAAGAACAGCTCCAGAAACGCATGAGCCAGTTAGTCTGGTATGGACAGTAACAAACAATAAAAGTTAAATATCTCAAGCAAAGGAGGGGTGAGAAGTGACACCTGACACCTAAGGTTGTCCTGAAACAGCCTATTTTTTTCTGATTGTTTTTTATTCATTGGGGAGGGATACAGGTCTCTCCTTCCATCATGTGACTCTCAGGACCAAACTCAGGTCATCAGGTTTGGTAGTAGGAGCCCTTACGCACTAAGTCATCTCTCCAGCCTACCTATTGTTTGGTTTGGAAAAGTTTTTAATTGTAGACAGATTCGATTTATATGCAGATTTAATTGTGCCCTGTTTAATCATTCACCAAAAGTATCCACTGTGTCATCCCCACACACATTTCTTCCCTTCCACCTTTTGATTCACTGTATACATTTCTGATTATGCAAATTTAATTAGTATATTATTTATGGTAATTTATGAATCAGTGATTTACTCTGCTTGCAAATGTAGGCCACACTGAGCATCATACACCCCTGACTCCATGCTTCCCCCTCCCTGCTTCCAACCAGCCATCTCCGAGTGTTGCCCTAGTCCTGTCCCATTTTAGGCCAAGCACTCTGTTAAGGTGAGAAAGACAGTCATTTCTCATCCAATACGGAATGCATTATCCTACTAGGACGACCCACACCATACTACAGGCTGAGTGCTTTAAGCAATACACATGAATTTCCTCACATTTCTGCCAGTCCAGAATCAAGGCACTATCAGGAATGAATTCCATTGAGCCGACAGACAGTCTCCTCCTCATTGTCTTCCCAGGAACCTCTGTGTGTGTGTGTGTGTGTGTGTGTGTGTGTGTGTGTGTGTGTGTGTAGAGGAAAGAGAGAGATCTTCCTGAAGGGTGTATTCCTCCAAGGGTGCCAGTCCCACTAGGTTAGTCTCCTAACCTAGTTATGACCTCATTAACTACAATTACTTTCTTAAAGGCTCTGTTCCCCAGTGTAGTTAGAGGGGTAAAGAAAGCTCTGGGATATGAATTTGAAGGAAACACGAGTCTGACTGTAACATCTTCCTCTCTGATAGTCCTGCCCTTGCCACATTCATGCTCTTTACTTAAAACACTGCATATGTGGTGTGATAAATAAAAGAGACATAGTGGCTATGAAAAGACTGCTCCTTGAATAAGTGCCAAGTTTCCTGCTTGTTCACTCTAATTTTTTTCAAGATATGTAGTCATAATAGAAGAAATTCTTTTTATTCAAAGTATACTTCAATAAAAACACGACTTATGCTTACTTAAAATAACACAAATCTGGCCCAGGGAGATGACTCAGCAGGTAAAAAGTGCTTAACACCAAGCCTGACAATCTGAGTTTGATTCTGCGGAGCCCACAAACGGGAAAGAGAGAACCAAATTTCCCAGATCTCCATTTGTGTGTTATAGCATATGCATGTACGTGCAGGCACATGCACACACAAATAAACATTACAAAACTAAATAACATGTAAACATTTTCTTTTCTCTCTTTTCCAGGTGAAACTGGGAGTGTTTTGGTAAAAATGGAAAATAGCGTAATATTCTATTTCATGTCTGACGTTACAAATGCAATCAAGCTACCTACATGGGTAAACACAACAGTAAAGACAGCGCTTTTCATGAACCAATTTACGCAATTTTATATGTTATATTATAGTGATCAATACGGGCCACAGCCACATAGCTATCCCTTAGATCTGGAGGTACAAAGTACAAGCTACAAAGCCCAACTACGATGCCCATATGTGGCATTTCAACACAATATTTTTAGTCAATTTTACACAATCGACAAAGGAGAACGCCTGACATTTTGGACTCAGTTAGTCTACCCAGAAAATACAGGTCTCAATATTGCTGTAGAGTACTACGGTCCAAAAATAGTGACGTGGACACAGGAAGTCTCCTATGAGATTGCCTCAGGCTTCTCCACCAAAAGTATGGTAAGTTGGTATTTTTTATTTAGTTTGAATAAACATAAAAGCATCAGCTACTTCTTGTTCTTCTTCTTTTGAGAGACAGAGAATGTCAGTCGGCAGGTAGGCTAGACGAGTAAGGTAGGCAGGCTAGTGAGCCTGAGGGGCCACCTGTCTCTGCACACCTAGGAAGAATTGTCCGAAGTTAGTTCCTGGGCATGCCTGTAAGAGATTTTCTTGAGTAGGTTAGTTGAAATGGAAAGTCTGAATTGAGCATGGCATCTGGGCTTCATCCCAGACAGAAGCAAGTCAGAAGAGAAACCTCTGGCTTTAGCCTACTTGCCTTTGCTCTCGCTGATGAGCGTATCTACCTGGGTTATGCTGCCGCCACCACTGTTCCCACTGTTATTGGTGACATCAGAACCCAATTTTTTTCTTTTGTTCTTCTGACATGAAATGAAAACCAGCAGCTCTCCAGGAAACCCACAGGTTTTCAGCACCAGAATGGGACTGCGGAGACGGCCAGCCTCCTAGACTAAGCAGCTGCTGGCCTACCAGCCTCTCTAGCATGAGGACTGCCCCCATTGGACTAGCTAGACCATATCATGTAAGCCAGCCAAAAACATCCCACTTGAAAAGTAACTGCCAGGCTGTTACTGTCTCCAGAGTCTTGGGTACAGCCACTGTTGTGTACCCAGCCCACATCATGTAAGTCAGTCTAATAAATCTGCTGTTTTCGTTCCTGGGGTGGGGGAATCTAATACCCGAGGAAGCAGACGAGCTCTGAGACAAACAAGGTATGTTACACTGCCGAGGAGAATGCAAACAAGAGTTGCAGAGCTATTGCAGCCGTATTTCCAAACCATCACTATAGTAGAGATAAATATAAGGTATATAGTATTGTATATTGTATTTTAATATTATACAGTATTGTCAATATAGAGCATACTATTATCATATGATATTGCATTATTGATTGTCACATTATATATAATATATTGTTACACATTAAAATATACTAATTATTAATGTACAATAATACAATCCCCAAAATGTGGAAGACTGAAATTACAGGAGCACACATTCACGAAGCGAGTGAACATTTTTGAAAACTCTCAAAAAACAACAGAAGAAAAGGGTTCTGGAAACTGAAGCAAAGAAGATACATGTGATGGTTCAGAGAAGAGTACTGGAAAGGAAAATTACATTATGGTCTTCTGATCTTAGGACGTAAGGAGATGGAAAAACCAAAGTGCTGCAGTGACCAAGGCTGAACAGTGGGGAGAGCAAAGCACAATGAAGATCATTTAAAACTGAAAAGGGCTGGGGAAATGATCCAGTCGGTGAAGTGCTTGCCCTGTAAGCACAAGGACATGAGTTTGATCCCCAAAACCCATATTTAAAACAAAAACAAAAATAAAAACAAAACAAGACAACAACAAAAAAAAAAAAAAAAACCAGGTTTGGTAGCACACTTTAAATCCCAGCATCTTGTTCTTAGAGACAGACAGATCCCTATGGCTCACCACCAGCCAGCCTGGCCTACTTGGTAAGCCCCACATCAGTGACAGACCCTGCCTCAAGAGGAAGTAGGCAATCTAGAGAGATGGCTCAGTGGTTAAGAGAACCTGAGTACCAATCTTGGCACCCATATGATAGCTCACAACCATCTGTAACTCCAGTTCCAAGGGTTCTGATGCCCTCTTCTGGCTCGGAGGGCACTGTATGCATGTGGCACACATACATACAGACATGCAGGCAAATACACATAAAATAAAAGGTAAAAGAAATTTTTTAAAGATCACAAATGATACCTGAGAAACAATACCCAAAGTTGTTCTCTGGCTTCCCCAATTAATACATGGGCACATGTACACACACACACACACACACACACACACACACACACACGAGAGTAAAAGAAGGAACAATGTACAATAATGTATACATAATTAAGATTTTACAAGAGCAGAATTTGGAAGAAGGAAAAAAAAGGCCAGTAATGGCTGAGCCCATAAAGACATTTGTCACAAAAAATGAGGATGAGTTTGATCCCCAGGACCCACATAGTAGGAGAGAACCAATTCCTATAAGTTGTTCTCTAACCTTTATATGTGTGCTGTGGCACATGCATACCCCTACACACATCACACACACACGCACAGACATGCTCACGTTCACACACACACATGCACAGACACACTAAATAGATAAATAAATATCAAGTTTATTATTTCTCTTACTCAACCATTTAAATGTCTAAAGTATACAATGTGTCTTAGAGAAAGTTGGTTTGCATTGATGAATACTGTAACCTATTCTAGTGTGTCTAGATGTCAAACCTAAATGATACTAACTTGAGGCCCCATTTCCACCTTTTCTACTCAACAGAAACTTTTTGATTTTCTTTTTCAGTTAACAACGTTTTTTCAGGAAGCAAATTACGAATTAGCAGATAATTACTTCAAGCTACAGTAAGTATGACTTTTAAATACATTACTTGAGTTTCTGATGTGTATGTTTTCTTTCATTTAAATGAACTCTCACCCTTTCCAATGTCCAAATTTCAAATTCTTTTACATGTCTAGATATATGTAAAGTGAATATTCAACCTTTAAAATGTAGGTTTTCCTTGTAATCCAGTGGGATATGATCTGACCAATGAACTCCAGGAATCATCCCGTGTCTCTTTGCCCCCTTTGCTGGGATTACACTATGCCTATCTTTTACACGGGTGCAGGAGATCCAAATTCAGGTCCTAATGCTTATGTGAAATGGTGGCACATGTCTGTAATCCCAGCACTGGGGGCAAGGAGGCACAGGATAATCCCTGGAGTTCATTGGTCAGCCAGTCTAGTCCAATCAGGGAGGGTCAGTAAGAGCTTGTCTTAAAAACTAAGGTGGACAATGATTAAGAAAGATATCGGACATCAACCTCTGGTCCTTACTAGCACATAAATGAGTACACACATGCATGTACATGCAGATGTATACACACACACACACACACACACACACACACACCACAAAAAAGAAAGAAAAGACAAGATGGAGGAGCAGTGATTGGAAGAGCTCAGAGAAAATGCTTCTTGTATATAGTAGTCAGAAGAGTCTCCATCACCCTTTCTCATTCACTCTGGCTTTAAGGGATGGCTGATCTCAGCTGTCAAATGATGAGATCTAGACTTATCTAGGAGATGGGCTCTGAACATGCCTAAGGGGATCATCATGCTTAGGTTAATTGAAGTGAGAAGACCAGACCTTTGTGAGTGGGACCATTCCCCTGGTGAGCTGGCTAGTTTTATGTCAACTTGACACAAGTTAAATCATCTGAAAGGAGGCAACCTCAGCGGAGAAAATGCCTCCGTAAGATCCAGGTATAGGGTGATTTCTTAATTAGTAATGGGAGAAGGCCCAGCCCATGCAGGGGTAGTGTCATTCCTGGGCTGAGCAAGCTATGTGGAGCAAGCCAGTAAGTAGCACTCATCCTTGGTCTTTGCATCAGTTCCTGTGTCCAGGTTTCTACCCTATTTGGGTTCCTGTCCTGACTTCCTTTGATGATATAGAAGTCTAAGTCAAATAAGCCCTTTCCTTCCCAAATTGCTTTGGTCATAGTGTTTGATCTCAGCAATAGTGGCCCTAATTAAGACACCTGGAATGTAAAAAAGAAAGGTACACCAGACACAGCATTTATCCATCTCTGTTCCCTGGCTATGGATGTGATGCAACAATCTAATGTTTCAACTTCTTGCTGCCTTCACGTCCTCATCAAGATAAACTCTGCCTATGAACTGTGAACGCATATAGACTCTCCTTTGTAACTGGAGGTTTCTCTCCCACTCACCAGTTCCTGAATAACCACTCTGTGTCTTAATATTAATTACACACTGTTTAACCTATTATCTCAGGCTTATTATTAACTAGACATTACAACTTAACCCATTTCTATTAGTCTGTATTTTACCACGAGGCTCGTGGCTTGTTATCTCACATCTTGCTTCTCTGGCAGCTGCTGGTCTCTCCCAAACTCTGCCTTCTTTTCCCCTTTATCTTTGCTTGAATTTCCTGCTTGCTCTATTCTGTCTGACTGTTGTCCAAACCAGGATCTTTATTAACCAATGGTAATAAAATATGTTCACAGCATACAGAAGAGCATCCCACATCACTCCTTCCCTTAAGTGGCTTTTGTCAGGGTCCCTAATCGTAGCAGCAGAAATGTCAGGCACCTGCCAATGGTACAGATTCCTGTCGATATTTTTGTTCTATGGATATTTACTGAGAATTATATTATAGACCACACATAAAATTATCTAAGATATTTTCTTTTCCATCGAGACTCTTGCCTGAAAAGAAAAATCTTATCAGGAAGTAGTGTCTGAAATCAAGCTTTCGAATCTTGTGTTTCTGTTCTTTTTGAAACCTCTTTTTTGCTCAAACACAAAATGATCCATGTGCACATGGTAACTAAGAAGGGCATTCTATCTCACCTTTCTTTGAGTTCAAATCAAATCAATCATGCAACTTAATGAGGTTAGGATTGTTCTTCATTGTTCTTCATTTTTGTTCTTCATTGTTTCAAAGGTGTTGCCAAGGGGGTAGGGACTCCATAGAGCAAAAAGAAGAGCACATTCAGGAGAAAGCAGGTCAAGGTGTTGGGTGCAGAACCTCAGTATCCAGGCACGGAGGATATTTGTAAAGAGAGTGAGGAAGTACCTAAAATGCTGCCGGATGCTCACTTCTGTTTCATGCTGTGCTAGCCATATGGTCAGCGATGAGATCCAATAGAGCAGGGAAGGGGTGGGGCGGAGTACTGGAGCTGCCATAGGACATCACCACAGTGAAGAGCTATATTCATGGAAGTAGCCACCTTCCAGGCCTCTTCAGCTCCTCAGAGGGTTCAACCCCACGTGTAATAGGACTTCACATTTGCTCGATATAAAAACTGATTCCTGACAGTCTCCTATTGTCATGAGTCTACCATAACCTGTGCGGATTGTTTTTCCCAGGAAAAAGAACATGGGTCTCATGCTTGTTCAATTCCGACCTAGTGAATCTTCAAATATGTGTCCAATTTCCAAAAAGGTGGGTGACATGATCCGGAGATCAACTATTTTTCTTCAAAAATATATAGTCAGGGATTGGGGGGTGGGTCTGTGGATGAAGCGCTTGCCACACAAGCTGGAGGACTAGAGTTTGGCTCTCCAGAGCTCACATAAATGCCAGGTGGATGCGGCAACCCACCTTGGATAATCCCAGCACTTGGATGGTGGAGTCAAGGGATCCCCAGAGCAAGCTGGCTGACTAGACTAGTCACATCAGTGAGCTCTGACTTCAACAGAGAGACTCTGCCTCAAAGAACAAGGTTGAGAGCAGTTGAGGATGCTTCCTGGCACCAACCTAAGGCCTCCACACTTAAGTATACACATGGATATTCGCCTACACGTGTAGGTACTTACACATACATGGGCACACACACGAGCACACCACACACATAGACATACACTAAACCATGTATAGTTGGAAAACTAAACAGTATCTTTATCTTCCAAGCAGTCCTCTCCCCTCTACTACTCATACTGCAATGTTTCACGGGGAAGATACCCATCCTTTGTTTTGGAAGCAGAAGATACAATTTCTGCCTCCTGAGAGTCTTTCAACTAAAGTGGGATTGTATAAATGTATGAAAAGGGGGTAACATTATTAGTTTTTGAAGGGTTGAAGGTAAGCTGTGTAAAGGAAAACTGAAACTGATGGGAACAAATGCAACGGGGTAGGATTTGTCAAAGGAGTCCGCCCAGACGTGTCCACACAGAGCATGCCTTTTTATTCATTTAGAGGGACTCATTGGCTTTTGTCCAGAAGCGCTTACTAAACCCCCCTGTATTTCCGGCATTCAGTCTGTGTACTTGGTAACGGGAGTTCTAAAGTGACCTCCCTCAAGGGCAGTACACCTGGTGTAAGACAACATGATGCACACAGTCACTAAGTAGCTCAGAGGGGAGAGAAAGCAGCTTTGAGAAGGGAGAGATGAGCATAGAAGAGAGATGAGATGTATGACTGAAGAACACATAGACACAGCAGGCAGAAGCAGAGGGACTCCATGACAAGGCCCAGGAGACACCCCCAAGGTGAGAAGCAGGATGCTCCGGCAGTTGCTGGTACTTACCTCCTTTGGATCTGTGTTGTGTCAGTACCTCTCTGCCTAACCAGCAGTCAGCCGATATGCTGTAAGCACTCGAGGAGCACAGGTGTACAAACTAGGACAGGCTATTGGAGGGCTTTGTTGACTCTCCTTTCAGATGTAGGACAAGACCCTGTTTGTGCCAGGGCAAGATGCCATGAGTTTCAAGGGAGCCTTTGACTGAGAGCTATCCTAAGGATGTGATCTATCCTTCGTTGTGTTCAGATCTTGGCTACACCATTCGCTGGTTTGGTCAAGATTCTGTGCCCTTTGAGACCTTCCTGCCTCCTCTGTAAAAGGAAACATTGGTCTTATATGAATGTCAAAAGTGATAAGTGGGATCATTTATGAAAATAGTTAAAAAAAAAAAACAATGCCTGCCCCAGAATAATTACCTAATAACACTGGGACTGAGGGGAGGTTTCCCCTGCTCTTTTGTTCCAAAGCAATCCTGATTCAGACCTAATCTCGCAGGCCCACGGCAGGTGGACAACGGCCTGTCTCTGAAATTCAATGGAGTATTGTGCAACAGCCCTCCTAAGCAACAGGAAAACATGATGCTGCCGAGACAGGTTGTCCAGTTAGCCAGGGAAGCCAAAACCTGTGCACCAACTACAGAGTCTGTTCTCGAACACAGGGTCCCTTCTCTGCACTCCGGAGCCATGTTCATGAATTATTAAACAAGTCATTAACCTCCTGGGAAAATGGTTCAGAGACAGACAGTGCCGGCTCTGCCCTTTCTCCATCCGGTGATGTCAGGCTTCTGTTAAAACCGCCAGACCCAATGAGCTACAGTGAGCCTTTTGAATTGGAGCCTGCCATCTTTGTCATTCGATCTCATTGCCTGCAGCAAATAGAGCTGTTGTCTCCAACAAGGAAGCATGGCACCTCTCAACCGTGCACCCAGAATTGAACATGCAGAAGCTCCCAGGTGTCCCCACTAATTCTCTGGAAGAAGAATTATCCCATGAAGGGATGACAGCTCTACTATGTTGCCCACCAGCATGGCAGTGACATTGGTCATTAGAATTCCCACATGGGGCCATTGTTCCATAGCTGGGCCTGTTGCTGAAGGGATGTCCAGTGGCTAAGTGTTGAGTTCCCAGGGTTTAGGCCTTAGCACCCACATGGGCTGGCTAACAACTGATTGTAACTCCAGCTTCAGGGGATCTCATGTCCTCTTCTGGCCTCTGTGAGCATCTGAATATGTGTGATGCACACACAAACAAGTATGCAAATACACAGATACATAAAATAAGTTTTTCTGGGCTTGACCTGAACTGAGGCTGGACCAGCCCTGTCCCGTCTCTGAACTAAAGAGAAATGGTTTCCCTTAGTCTCTGGATAAGATTGTCTCCCAGCAGATGTCCAGAAGGCCACACACCTAACCTGCAGCTATAGTTTCCTCAGAAAACACATTTCTTCTTTGTCCAGATCCTTTTCCAAGTCCACCTACAAGACAACTCATATTTTTAACCCTACCTGTGGTTACTGGGATCTGGGGCTTGTGATTTTTGACGACTCAGACCAAGATGAGAACGGGGTTTTACAAATGAAACCATCATGTGATGGGCACCATTTGTCCTGACCATAATAGAGCTGAGTAGGGCAACTGCCCTTTGATGGGACACGGACCGCTTAGTAAGCAGAAAGGGCAGGATGAGTTTTGCAGGAAAGAAAAGACTGAATGATCCTAGATAGTACGAGAGGCAAATCAGCTTTGCTGGGAAGATAAACCGTATCCTGTGGGCGAGATGCTTAGCAAATGAAATCCAAGAACTCCCTCTGTGGAATATTCCTCTGTCAAGAGGAATGAAAGGCCATGGATTTCCAGGCCGGGGAAAGGGGACCAGGAGCTTGGCTCTGACAGAAACATGGGCAGTTCTACAAAGCTAAAAAGCAGTTGTCTGCTAGTCTTCCTTTCTCTCTTTCTTTCTTTCTTTCTTTCATTCTTTCTTTCTTCCATCCTTCCTTCCTTTCCTTTCATCTGCTGTATTTTCAACACTGGCTGTCTTCTTAAGCTTTCTTTTAAGGCCGATGCTGTCATTACTTTAGTCCAGTTAGCCAGGGAATAAGCTGCGTGCAATTTTTATGCAATATATTTCTGAGCATTGACAGTCAGAGTAAAGCTTTGACCAAGAGTTCTTAATGGTAGAGATTCAATAATGTTAACCTCTAAACTTTAAATACGATGTTACCAGGTATGAAAAGCAAGAAGAAACAAAACGTCTCTTTCATTTTTTTTTTTTTTGAAGATAATCATCATTCTACCATGTCCCTCCTGGAAAGGTGTTTGATCTTTCTAACAACAGAGGGATTCAGAGGCAAAACCAACGTAGTTATCAAATCAGGGTCAGGCAAAAAACAAGAGGGTTAACTGAATTCAAGAGTTCAGGGAAAGCCTGGACAAAGTAACAAGAACCTATATCCAAAAACTAGGGAAAATATATGTACATATATATCTTGCACACACATCACATCAGACTGCAATAGCTTTTGTATGTATGTATATATCTGTGGTATATATGCAGGTGTACATATGTGTAGACACATGTGTTTGTGTGTCCACAACTGTGGAGGCCCAAGGTTGATGTCAGACGCCATCCTCAATGCATTCCATCTTATACATTGAGGTGGGCTCTCTCTCGTGGTGGAGTTTTATTTGGTTCTTTTAATGTTGCCCTTTTCCACATGGAATGTCTGTATGACGTCACTGCTGCCTTTCCCACTGAATCCAAGAGTTTCTCCCAGTAAGTATGAGCTGTGTCAATAAGCCCTCCCACAGTCTGGCAGACACTGTGCTGGCTGCTAAGCACCCGTAGCTGCGGTAATTCATATACACACTGGGAATGTGGAAACACACGCGGCCTGTAATCACAGCACACGGAAGGAAACAGTAGGCTATCACGCATGTGAGGGTAGAGTGTTTAAAACAAATAGCCATAAGCCTAGGATGTAGCCTATCAGTAGTTGATCTTACTCCTTTGAAAGGAGACTAGCGCTGTGTAAACCAGAACTAGCAATGCAAGATAAGCCACTTCTGCAAGGCTACTCAGTTCCCTGACAAATTACTGTTTGAATTAAGTACATAATAGATGTCCACTGGCAAAGTCTACAGTGCTGGCTGCAAGCCTGGCATTGATAGGGCTGCAGCTCTGGAGGTAGAAGTTCATTAGATATATGCAAATTCTCTAAAATCTGGGACACTTCTGGGGTCATACGTTTCAGATAAGAGATAGATAGTCTGTGTTTCTAATCTAAAATGTAGCTGTGAGGTTTGGCTCTAAAGCTAGCTCAGGTCATGTGAGTCCGAGTTGCTGAATTCACTTTGTAAATTACTTCATTTTCAGGTGTTTGAAATTTCTGTTGGATGTGATGTAGATACACACATCAAGGTTAAAGGGTAAGTGCATCTCTTCCGTTTGTCCTTAGGTCTTACTCTAAGTTTTCACACAAATGGTGCTGACCATGGCTTGAAAACACCAGCCTCTAACGGGCACGCTCATGGTGAAATCTAAAGCTGAACTGGAATCGGTGTCCAGCTTCAGTGGGTTTAAATATTTTATCTTATGTACAAGACCGTTTTGCTTGCAAATGTATTTGTGCCCTACCTGCATACCTGGTGCTCTCAGAGTCCCGCAGAGGGCATCGGGTCCCCTACAACTAGAATTACAGACAGGGGTGCTGTGTGTCAACCTGGGGGCTCTGTAAGAGCTGTCAGTGCTCGGGAGCACCGACCTAGTTCTCCAGACCCTGGTTTGAAATTATTGTCGAGTCACATACTGTGCTTGAGCCACTCTAGGAGGCAGCATTTCTTTTATTGCCACTGTGGTGGTTTGAATGGAGTTGGCCCCCAATAAGCTCACAGCAAGGGGCACTAGTAGAAGGTGTGACCTTGGAGGAAGTGTCACTGCTGGGGTGACCTTTGAGGTCTCATATGTGCTCAAGTCACACCCAGTGTCTCGGCTCACTTCCTGTCACCAGCATCTAAAGATGTAGAACTCTCAGCTCCTTCTCCAGGACCATGTCTGCCTGCATGCCACCCATGCCCCACCATGATGGTGATGGACGTAACTGCTGAACTGTAAGCCGCCCAATTAAATGTTCTCGTTATAAGAACTGCCGTGGTCATGGTGGCTCTTCACAGCGATAGAAACCCTAACTAAGACAGCCAATTTCCACCATAACAAGCCAGTATCTATCCTTGCTGTTACTCATCAGTCTGCAATACGGTCCCATAAAACCTTCTTTCCGTCCTACTTAAACCACTTATGATCGTCCTTTGTCAGAGAGTTCTCTATCCCTGTACCAGAGAGGTCTCTACCCCTGTACCAGAGAGGTCTCTACCCCTGTACCAGAGAGGTTTCTACCCCTGTACCAGCAGAGAGGTCTCTACCCCTATACCAGAGAGGTCTCTACTCCTATACCAGAGAGGTCTCTACTCCTATACCAGAGAGGTCTCTACTCCTATACCAGAGAGGTCTCTACCCCTATACCAGAGAGGTCTCTACCCCTGTACCAGAGAGGTCTCTACCCCTGTACCAGAGAGGTCTCTACCCCTGTACCAGAGAGGTCTCTACCCCTGTACCAGAGAGGTCTCTACCCCTGTACCAGAGAGGTCTCTACCCCTGTACCAGAGAGGTCTCCTCTTCCTGCTTTCCCTGGATAGGTTTTCTAATAGAATCTAACAGAGCCACCAATGGTTCCCTCAGAGCATCCCAAGGTTCGAATTTCCTCGACCTCACAGTGAGGCACACTGTTTGTGCTGCCCATTTGTAAAGCTGTCTTCTGCATGGTAGAGAATCTACATCAACACACATGCAAGTCTGTTCGACTGAGGTCCGGCGCTTGATGAAGACAACAACTTACTTTGGCCTCTTTCCTTTGTGAGGGTGGGAGTGTGCTGTGGGAAAGTGGTGGGGGGGGGTCACGGATTTTCATCTTAGTATTTAGGAAATGATTAGTCTAATCCAAAAACAAGTGTCTATTCCTAGGTAGTATATGAACCAGTGTAGTTGGTTTTTGGTCTTTTCGTGTGTTTGTTTGCTTTGTTTTTACTCTTTGGGGGCCTGCCATGTGGCTCCCAAATAAACACATAGAAACTTATTCTTACTTTTGTTTTTTTGTTTGTTTGTTTGTTTTTTACAGCCTCTCCCCAACTCCACATTTATTTTATTGATATTTATTGAGCTCTACATTTTTCTCTGCTCCCCTCCCTGCTTCTCCCCTCTGCCTTCAACCCTCCCCCAAGGTCCCCATGCTCCCAATTTACTCAGGAGATCTTGTCTTTTTATACTTTCTACTTCCCATGTAGATTAGATCGATGTAAGTCTCTCTTAGTGTCTTCATTGTTGTCTAAGTTCTCTGGGACTGTGGTTTGTAGGCTGGTTTCTTTGCTTTATGTTTAAAAACCGCCTATGAGTGAGTACATGTGATAATTGTCTTTCTGTGTCTGGGTTGTCTCACTCAAAATAATGTTTTCTAGCTCCATCCATTATCCTGCAAAATTCAAGATGTCATTATTTTTTCTGCTGTGTAGTACTCCATTGTGTAAATGTACCACATTTCTCTTACCATTCTTCGATCGAGGGGCATTTAGGTTGTTTCCAGGTTCTGGCTATGACAAAAAAAAAGAAAGAAAAGAAAAAGAAAGAAAGAAAGAAAGAAAGAAAGAAAGAAAGAAAGAAAGGAAGGAAGGAAGAAAGAAAGGAAAAAAGAAAGAAAGAAAAAAGCTACTATGAACATAGTTGAGCACATGTTTTTGTGGCACAATTGAGCATTCTTTGGATATATACCACAAAGTGGTATTACTGGGTCTTGAGGAGGGTTGTTTCCTAATTTTCTCAGAAATCGCCACAATAACCTCCAGAGGGGTTGTACCAGCTTGCATTCCCACCAGCAATGCAGAAGTGTTCCCTTTTCCCACAACCTCTCCAGCATAAGTTGTCATCAGTGTTTTTGATGTTGACAATTCTTATAGGTGTAAGATAGAATCTCAGAGTTGTTTTGATTTGCATTTCTCTGATGACTAAGGATGTTGAACATTTCCTTAAGTGTCTTTCAGCCATTTTAGATTCCTCTGTTGCGAGTTCTCTGTTTAGGTCTGTACTCCATTTTTTTTTATTAAATTATTTGTTCTTTGGGTGACCAATTTCTTGAGTTCTTTATATATTTTGGAGATCAGACCTCTGTCTGATGTGGGATTAGTGAAGATCTTTTCCTATTCTGTAGGCTGTCATTTTGTCTTGTTGACCGTATCCTTTGCTTTACAGAAGCTTTTCAGTTTCAGGAGGTCCCATTTATTAATTGTTTCTCTCAGTGTCTGTGCTGCTGGGGTTCTATTTAGGAAGTGGTCTCCAGTACCAATACGTTCAAGTGTATTTCCCACTTTCTCTTCTATAAGGTTCAGTGTGGCTGGCTTTATGTTGAGGTTGTTGATCCATTTGGACTTGAGTTTTGTGCATGGTGATAGATATGGGTCTATTTTAATTTTTCTACATGCTGATATCCAGTTATGCCAGCACTACTTGTTAAATATGCTTTCTTTTTTTCCATTTGATATTTTTTTGCTTCTTTGTCAAAAATCAGGTGTTCGAAGGTGTGTGAATTTATATCCGCGTCTTTTGTTCGGTTCCATTGATCCTCCTGACTGTTCTTATGCCAATACCCGGCTGTTTTCAGTACTGTGGCTCTGTAGTAGAGTTTGAAGTCAGGTATTGTGAGGCCTCCAGAAGTTCTTTTATTGTACAGGATATTCTTACTTTTGAATGTCTGGCCTTAGCTTGGCTTGTTTCTAGCCAGCTTAACTTAACTTATTCCATCTCCCTTTTACCTCTGAATTTTACCTTTCTTTATTCTATATCTCTTTCTTTCTTATTTACACTGTGGCTGGTTGTGTGCCTGAGTGGTTGGCCCTCAACATCATCTATAGTGGGAGGCCACTTGTTTGTTCCCTGTTGCTCAGACTCCCGAAATAATCACACAGAAACTATATTATTTAAATTACTGCTTGGTCAATCACTTAAGTGTAGTGCTAGCTAGCTCTTTTATCTTTGGTTAACCCATTTCTATTACTTGATATTTTACCATAAGGTTTGTGACCTACCAGCAAGGTTCCAACTGGCAGCTTGTGTCTTTCTCCTCTGGAGGCTCCCTGACCCCACCTTCTCTCTCCCAGCCTTCAGTTTAGTTTTCTCTGCCTTGCTCTTCTCTACCCTATCACAGGCCAAGGCATATTATTTATTCATTATCCAATAAAAGCAACACATATACAGAAGGACTTCCCACACCAGTCATCCACTTTTCTCCTTTTTATCGCTCCTCTCTCTTTCTTCTTCTTTTTATATTTGTTCTCTCTACCTGGAAGCCCCACCTATTTCTTTCTCTTGCCTAGTTATTGGTCACTCAGATATTTACTAGACTAATCAGGTGTTTTAGACAGGCAAAGTAACACAGCTTCACAGAGTTAAAACAAATGCAACATTAAAAAATAACCCTTTATTATTCATAATTCTGAACTGGTATGGGATTATTTTGTGACTTCAGCCTTCAATTAAACAAATATTCCACAGCATAAAAGAATCTATCACATATTTAATATTTCACAACATTTCCACATTTTGTCTAAATAAAAATGAAATATTTTAACTTTAACATAGTTAAACTATATACAACAAAAACAGGTATCAAGTAAGAATTACATTTACAAGCCAGGCAGTGGGGGTGCATGTCTTACTCCCAGCATTTAGGAGGCAGAGTTAGGCGGATCTCTGTGAGTTTGAGGCCAACCTAGTCTACAAGAGTTAGTTCCAGGACAGGCTCCAAAGCTACAGAGAAACCCTGTCTCAAAAAACAAACAAAAAATATATATTTACAGTCCATTTGTATTTAGCAAATTCAAAGAAAATACTCCATTATCTATCTTATCTTAGTGATTCCAAAATTTTATACCTAATTTACCTTCTATCATAACTAAAGAAAACTATAACTCTAACTGGTTAACTCCATCAAAGACCCAATACATATATAATATTACCTAACAACAGAGACATCTGGCTACCTGAACAGTCACCCAAAGTTCCTTTGCAGTGCAGAGGTATCCATCTTCAGTCTACAGGCCTAGACTGTCTGGCAGACTTTTCAGTGAAGCAGGAAATTTGAAGGACTGACAAACCTTGTATTAGCAAAGTTCATCAGTCACATTCCTCTGTGTCCTGCAGAATATCTGGCAGACTCTTCTGTGAAGCTGGAATCTCAAAGGACTGTCCAGCCTTGTTTTGGCAAGATTCAAAAGTCTGTTTTCTTGTGTCCCTATTTCTAGTACACACAGCATACTATCAGCAATTAAGCCAAGAACAGTTTCTTGCCCAAGTGGCTAGCTTTTGCCACAATGAAAGCAAACTCCATATGGAGTTTCTTCAATGTCCTTCAGTAAATTGGTGCTGCCAGAAGCAGACGTGTCTCATTGTCATGGAAAACCTTAGATTATTAAACAACTTAAATTCCATATTCTGTAGGTTTTGAAGTGTTTGAAAAATCATCTATCTGTCAAAAATATACCCCTTTAGCCTGAAAAACATACCTAATGTGACTACAAATTTGATTATTATCGGTTAACTACTAGCTTCTTTTCTTAATTATACATTGCGTTTTTAAATAAGCTGCATAAGCACAATACCCCAAACAAGAGTAGAAACATATACACAGTATAATGAAAATAACTTTAAATTTGTATCAATATATCAAAATCCATGCCAATGCAAAATATCTGAGATTAATAGTTGTCTTTTTAGCCTATATTCCTATAATCCCCTAAATGATATCATCTATAACCCAATAACAAACAAGCATTCACCCCATCTCTTGGGAATGTGAATATCATCTTCTCTAGACTGTGTCCTATTGTATAGGGGTGAAGGCATCTTTCGGGTCCCTGAGAAAATTGAGATAATGACCAAGTCCTGGATAAACCAGCTGGGTAAGCCAACCTTTGTTGATATATATATCACCTGTCAGGTTTCAGAAGGTCTCTCATGGTCATATCAACCCTGAAGGAATCCATAGCCTCTCATTTCTGTGGAAATAAAAACAAAACCTCTCCCCAAAAGCAATGCATTTTTTGAGTTCCATTTTAAAGTTAAGGCATTCTTAAAATATCTAAGATGGCTTATGTCAGCAGTTCAGTTCACAATCCCGTGTCTCTTAGCAACTGTGTTTTGTTTATAATTCAATCAAAAAAAATTCAAGGTCAATACAGCAACACACAGGATCCAGACGCCCTGTATATTTACCATCTCTGTGAAACTTATTTTTTGTTGTTGTTATTTTACTTCTCTCTTTAAAGACTTTACTATTTTTAAATTACTTCTTTCTAAGACTGTCTATGCCCTTTTTCTTTCTTTCTTAAGTCTACATACATTATAAAACATACTGGGACCTGTTTAGAGGTTTTTTCCCCCCTCTGGATCTGTCTTTACTGTATATCTCTAGTCTTCTAGTCCTTTATTTTTTTTGTCTGCATGAGCAAAAAACTGCTAAGCAGCACATCTAGGACCTCTGCCACACTTTTAGCAGCTGGCTCTGCCCACTTCTCAGGTTGTGAAAACCAAGCCTTAAGTTCATGGGCCCAGCTGGAAGTCACTTGACAGAGAACTGCATTCAGTTTCCCAGCTCTGGAAAGTCAGTACTGTGGCAGGCATCTTTACTTAGGTTTTCATTTCTATTTAGCATGAAAAAGGCTTTTTAAGTGCTTTGCTGTACAGCAGAACTTAAAGAAGTCTTATCTTTGTTTTCTCAGCTTTCTCAAGCCCACGTTGAGTGTCAAAATGTAGAATTTTTGTTTTGTTTTGTTTTGTTTTTACTCTTTGCTTTTTGGGAGATCTACCACCTAGCTCCCAAATAAATACACAGAGACTTATTTTTACTTTTGAATGCCTGGCATTAGCTTGGATTGTTTCTATGCATCTTTTCTTAAATTATCCCATCTACCCTTTGCCTCTGAGTTTCTAACTTTCTTTATTCTATATGCCTTCCTTTACTTCTTATTCCGTGGCTAGTTGTATGGCTGGTGGCCCTGATGTGTTCCTCTCCTTCTCCTTTTTCTTGCTCTTCTCTCTTCTCTCTTCTCCTATTATTTTCTCTGCCTAGTGAAACATGCCTTTAATCCCAGCACCCAGGGGGCTGAGGCAAATGGATCTCTGTGAGTTCTAGGCCAGCCTGGTCTACAGAACAGTCAGGACTTCATATAAAAACTTGTCTCAAATATACGAAAATAATAAATTATTTTAATAATTTGTTAGGGCTGGAGAGATGGCTCAGCGGTTAAGAGCACTGCCTGCCCTTCCAAAGGTCCTGAGTTCAATTCCCAGCTACCACATGGTGGCTCACAACCATCTGTAATGAGGTCTGGCCTGCAGGCATACACACAGACAGAATATTGTATACATAATGAATAAATATTAAAGAAGAATGTATTAAAAATAATTTGTTAATAATAATAATAACAATTACCAAAATAATAGACAAACAGAGAGAAAGAATCTAATTTACCACCAGCGTTTATCTCTCTGTTCATTGACTGCAGGCACAATGTGAGCGGTATCCTCACACACCACCAGCTGTGCCCTCTCCACCATGATGATGACTGTACCCTCGAACTGTGTGCCAAAATAAACTCTTCAAGATTGTTTCTTTTGTCCAGTGTCTGCACCACAGCAATGAAGAAAAGTAAATCATACAAGCTCCAATAGAACAGCTTGAGGAAATTCCTGTTTATTTTGATGCATTTTATTTGAATTTTTTTTTTACATGCTTGCTCTTTGGAGTAAAAGACATTAGAATGCCATGCAGCTTACATAGTATGCTCCACGGATCATTTTACTTCTTGTTAAGTGCACAGTTCAGGGGAATTGGTTACTATGTAGTTCCAAAAGATGTTTATCACCTTCAAAGAAACTTCTACCCCTTACTGGGCTAGTCTGCCATCTCTGTGGATTTATCTTAGTGTGCGTATTACAGATAAATGCATGAGAACTTTCACATCTGCTTGTTTGCTTTCATGTGTTTGTGATGTTCACTTGATTGGTGGCCTATCTTAGTACAGTAGTCTTGTTCCCACCTGAATAAGCAGCAGGTCACAGGTGTTTCGAATGTTTCTGCTTTGGCCTTTTGCTGTTATTATTATTCTTGAAGTCCTCATTAAGAATTACCTTCAAAGATACCAGAAAGTTTCCATTAGGTTTCCACACAATCCCCCAAATGTCCCCAGTTCCAACTGGCTCTCCCCACACTGCCTCCCTTCATCCCATCTCCCCCCTCCCACCTGACCCCTCCCTCTCCAGTCCTCACCTGTCCCCAGTCCACCTGTAAAATCTTTATATCTTCTAAAAAATTTAATAAGTATGTATAAAATGTGAGGTAAATAAGAAGTTTGTGAAACTGAGTCTTTTTTAAAAAAAAATAGAAATGCTAAGGCAGAAAACTGATCCCAGAGACTCTTATTTAGTAAATTAATTATGTAATGATCTTTAATTTAAGAACCACTGAGCTCAGTGAAGAATTGTTTATATTATGTTTTATTTTTGTAGATTTGGTAAAACTGGATGTTACCACCATGATTTTTCTTACGTGATTAACAAGTAAGAAATATTTCTAATATAAGCATATTAATAATAGCTAATAGGCTATAAAAAGCTAGTACTTAGTGGTTGAAATACCACTGGCATGCATGTATTTGGCTTGATGGTTTCCAATTTTTAAAAAACTGGAGATACAACCCTTAACCTTCTCTGAAACATGTACAAACACACTTGTTATTGTCCTTTCTGGTTCAATTCAATAAAAAAGGCAAGTATCACTTAGTCTCAAATCCCATATTGTCCCTTTTCATGTAAGTAGACAAATGAGAGTATCTGCCCCTCACCTCACTTTCCTACATAACTGGGTAAGAACCTAGTTAGAGTGCACAGGTGTCTCTTGAGATCACAGAGGAGGATTCCATTAAAGGAATAAATTGAAATTAAGGAATTACTGGGGGTTTTAAAATCCCTTTTAGGGCCTAGAGAGATGCTTCAGTGAGAAAAGTTCCCCAAACCTATGGAAATCCAGGCCCAGTAACATCTATCTTAAATCCCAGCCACCTACTGTGAGATTGGAAAAGGAGAAACACTCGGTGGCAAAACTGCAAAGAGACCCTGTTGCAAACAATGTAGAAGGCATGGATCAATACCAGAAGTTGTCTCTTGACCTCTGTATGCATGTCATGGTATATATGTACCTGCATTCATACAAATGTGTACATATACACACACATCATACATGTACAATCAACAAGTCAATTAATTAATTAAAATACATATCTAAAGGTGGGCATGTGGTTCAGTGGAAGAGTACCTGCCAGGCATGACAAAACACAAACACACACACATATAAGACAAGGGGGTACACATCTATAATCCCAGAATTTACAAGGTGGAGTTTGAATGAGTTTGAAGACAGCCTGAGCATCATGAGATCTTGTCTTTAAGAACAAAATATGTTGTTTCTGACTCTTTCATTTAGTAACTGTGGTGATTTGAATGAGAATGTCCCCCATGGGCTCATATATTGGAACAGTCACCAACGAGTGGAGCTGTTTGGGAAGGAATAGGAGCTTTGTCCTTGTTGTAGGAGATGTGCCACTGGGAGTGGCCTTCGGAGTGTCCAGAGCCCATACAAAGCCCAGTGTCTCTCTTTCTGCCTGCTGCCTGTGGGTCAGGATGTAAAACTCTCGGTTACTGCTTCAGTGCCATGCCTGTTTGCTCCCCACCAAGATGATCACGGCCTAATCCTCTGAAACTGTCAGCAAGCTCCCAATTAAATGTTTTAAAAAACAAAAAGAGTCTTGTCTTGGGTGCAGTGTCTGTTCGCAGCAGTAGAACGGTGACTAGGCCAATTATGTTTTGGGGAGTTAGGCACTGGACTAACACAGTGAATACAGACTTTCCAACTGTGTATCTTTCTCACGACTGAAACAAGGTTTGCAATCTTGAGTAAGCTTCATATGATTTCTGAAAACAGTCCCACGTCTCCAAATGAAGGACAGCGGCTTGTACCTGCTTGGCTGTTGGTTGACGTGAGACTGTATTCACAGAGGTGGCAAAGGATATGTAAAGTGCCAGTTTGTAGGAATCACTTGGTAGTTTATCATCCTGTTCTCTACTTGGCTTTTGTGACACCCACCCTAAATAAACTATGTTTTTAGTTTAAAAAACTAAAAGTCAGAATGGAGGAAGCGTAAACAAGGATAATGACATGTGTCTTTTTTTTTTTTTAAACAGGGAATTTCTGAGAGCTAAACCACCTGAAGATTTGGTAAGAAAAGCATGCATTTTGTCAATGAGATAAATGGACACAACAACTAAAGCATTTTTCTTTTTCTAGAAAATAAGGTATGATGTGGAAGAGTACGGTTGCCCTCAGAGACTTGAATTCGATATGCCGTTTCAACCTGTAATAGAGCTGTAAGTTTACACCCACTTAGGAAATTAATTTGTGTGCTGGAGAAATAGCTCAGTTGTTGAGAGTGCTATTACATCAAGGGACAAAGAGGCTGTCCTGGAGAGTCCAGCCCACGCAAGGCTTTCATTCCTTTCTTCCAGAATAGTCATATGAGTGACTATTTGCTTTAGCTGGGTCTCTCTGAATTCTAGGGAAAGAAGTCTGAGTAGGGAGACTCGTTAGTAAATTTTATTTAGGAGCTGGAGAGTCGTTGAAAGGGTATCATGGACCAAGAAGTTTATCTGTGACAGAAATCAGTGATTATAAGCAGAAAGAGTCAATGTTTGATATGTGAGTGGTGAGGATGACGAGGAGTGTGAGGATGACGAGGAGTGAGACAGATGTCGACAACACACCTGCATCTTCAAGCATCTGTACGGTGCACTCTTTCACCGTGTGTCTTAGGGTTCCCGTTGCTGTGCTGAAACATCGTGAACAAACGCAACTTGTTTCAGCACACAGTCTGCAGCCCAGCATCCAGAGAACTGAGAGCAGAAACTCAAGCGGAGTACGAACCCGGAAGCAGGAGCTGATGCAGACCACTGCGGAGTGATGCTTGCTGCCTTGTTCCTCATGACTTGCTCAGCCTGCTTTTTTTTTTTTAAATAGCAACCCAGGATCACCAGCCCAGGGGTGGCACTGCCCACAGTGAGCTGGGCCATCCTATATCCATCATCGATCAAGAAAATGTTCCATAAGCTTGCCCACAAATCAATCTAGTTGTTGCATTTCCCCAGTTGAGCCTCCCTCTTCCCAAATGAATGTAGTCTGTGTCAATTTAACATAAAAAAAAACTAGCCAGCACAGCATAGGTGAACTCTCTAAAGCCTGTCTCTCCACTTAGGAAATAGCTTTACTAATTAGGAACATTGTTCCTGAGTGCCCCCCTCATATATATATATATATATATATGGAGGTTTATTAGACTGTCTTATAAGATTAGACCTGGGTCATCCAGCAATGGCTATCTTCAGAGCCCAGAAGCCACACAGTCCAGGAGACTGAACATCTCACTGTCTCGGTCTAGCACTCAAGCTCTGGGGGATGCCCAGAAAGCCGCTTGTCTTCAGTTCACATTGGATGGCTGAAGAAGCTGAGTTCTGGTGTCAGCAAAGGAAGACTCTCACTAGTAGAACAAACAAGGTCAATGAGCACAACACCAAAACACAAGGGCAAAGAGATGAAAAGTAAAAGCTTGCCCTTGGACCTCCCTGACATCTGGGCAAGTGCTGGAAGATACTACCCACCTTCAGGGTGGTAACCAAGAAAATCCTTCACAGGCATGCTTGGAGTTTAACCTAAATAATTCCTTAGAGGTGTTCCCAAAGGCTTGCCTCATGGATGATTCTAGATCCTGGCAAGGTGGCATATCAATCATCACACCCTCTCTACTAGATCATCGGGCAAATGTGCACTTGCTCAACAAAGGAATCAAAAGGACCCCCCTGGGTGAACTGCAGCCACCATGTACACGGTCCCCTACTCTTCCCATGCTCTCTCCCCATGCCTCTTTGTCTAGCTTTTATGCTTCCCTAAACACAGATAATAAAAGACCTAGTTAAAAGAATGAGTCATCCCCAAGTTTAGAATATGAAGATCAGTTATGAGGTCTCTTCAATTCCTGAAGTCACAGAAAAATTAACAACTGTTGGGAATTTAGCTGCCAATTAGTGACATCCCTGCCTTCTCAGATTTAATTAGAATTCTATTACACACTAATGAAAATTTATTAAAATGAGCAAGCTCCGGTAAGCAAGTCCTTCTGTCACATAGTCACAATGAGACAAAACCCCAGGGATGACTCATGGAAGGCATGCTTGTGACACAGGATGGCACCGTGACTGCAATGTATGCTTGTGACACAGGATGGCACTGTGGCTCTTTGCACTAACTGTCCTGACGTCTCTGGGATCTTTTTGTCCTTGAGCAAAATAGAATTTGTACCTAATTCTAAAAAAGAAAGGAAGGAAGGAAAGAAGAGAAAAGAAAATAACGTTTATTTGGGGGGAAGGGGGTCAGGTGTCAAGACCAGCTCCCTCCCTTTTACTTAGTGGTTCCAAGGATCAAACTCAGGTTATCAGACTCTGCAGCAAGTGCTTTTGCTTGACCAGCTACCTCATCTCATCAGCGCCTAATTCTTAGGAAATCAAGAACTCTACCATTTACACAAGCTATACTCGAACTCCTGCCTCCACCAAAGCTGCTAGCTTTTGAGCTTGACTCATCCTAAGGGCCCTTGCACTCTTCTGAGGCAAGGGGTGCACAGCACTCATGTGAGTTTTTAATCTTTCTGTGGCTCTCCTTGGCCCAGACACCAAGCAGGTGCTCCCCATCACGCCTGTTTGGGAACTGAGATCCGAAGCTCTTCATGGCTTCTCAAAATTAGGAAACACAGAAACAAGAATGGCTTCCCAAGTACTGCTGCTTAACACCTGAGTCCGTGTGCCGCCCCCCACATCCCCCCATACACTCTCCACCCCCACTCCATGTACACTTTGTGAGAATGGGAGAAGAACAGAGTGGGCTAGCCAGTGTAGGATAGCAGCAGACTTCAACCAACCTGAAAATCAGACTTCATAGCTTTGAAGTGAAGCAGAGAACTGGTGTGGGGAACAAAGAGCCATTGTCTAGGACCTAGTTTTTTTGTTTGTTTGTTTGTTTATTTTGTTTTTTTAAATCAACAGAGAGCTGACAAATGATGAACTGGATTTTATTTTTTTTATTGATTTTTATTGAGCTCTACATTTTTCCCTGCTCCCCTCCCTGCCTCTCCCCTCCCCTTCAACCCTCTCCCAAGGTCCCCATGCTCCCAATTTACTCAGGAAATCTTGTCTTTCTCTACTTCCCATGTAGATTAGATCCATGTATGTCTCTCTTAGGGTCCTCATTGTTGTCTAGGTTCTCTGGGGTTGTGATTTGTGGGCTGGTTTCCTTTGCTTTATGTTTAAAAACCACTTATAAGTGAGTACATGTGATAATTGTCTTTCTGGGTCTGGGTTACCTCACTCAAAATGATGTTTTCTTGAGCCACCCACTTGCCTGCAAATTTCAAGATGTTGTTTTTTTTCTGCTGTGTAGTACTCCATTGTGTAAATGTACCGCATTTTCCTTATCCATTCTCCGGCCGGGGTGGGGGCATTTAGGTTGTTTCCAGGATGAATTGTATTTTAAAAGCAGGGTTACATTCGTTGCAAGAGTTAGCAGCTTAGAAGCAAGAACAGGACCCAAAAGTGAGTCTTCAGGGAAATTTCCATCCAATGAGTATATGGGACAATTTCATTCAGAAACATGAGCATAAGGAGGGTAGAAAGTTGGCACGAGCCTCTAATCCGAGTAGCTGGGAGGGAGATGCAGGGGCTTAGGAATTCAAGGCCAGCCTCAGCTATGTAGTGGGTCTGAGGTCAGCCATCCTGAGCTATGAGACTCTGTCTCAAAAAAAAGAAAGGAAGGAAGGAAGGAAGGAAGGAAGGAAGGAAGGAAGGAAGGAAGGAAGGAAGGAAGAAAGGAAGAAAAATAGGAAGAGAAGGAGGGAGATGGGAAAGTGGGAAGAAAGAAGTGGGGAGAGGGGAGCAATGACTAGTGCAGAAGGAAGCTATGTAACCATCTGTGTGGTCCCAAGTTCTACAATGCAAAGGTATAAATCTGTTGATGGCAACTTTATCTTTGCTCTTGAGTGTTTATTTTTTATGACAGAGAAAAATTCTAAAGTACCAGATCTCTTTTTAAACTCCATGGGTCTGAGGGAACTCTTCTCAGCTTGGTGGGGCTAGTGTGTCCTGTCCCAGCATCACAAGGGGGTAACCTGTCCCCGGAGGAGAGTGACTGTTTCCTGCCGCCAAAGAGATGACTGTCTCCCAGCCCCACCCCAGCTCCCCCAGCTACAGACCCTTCGAGATTCAGCCCATCTTCCAGCTGCTCCCTCCTGGGAAGTCGGCAGAGGTTCCACCTTTCGCTCCAGGAACTCCATGGTTTCCTCTATACCACATGAAATGTGGTTTCCTGATACCGAAAGATCCTTGGCCTGTCCTTCCACCCATCTCCTTCTTCTGTCTTTCTCCATGTTACCAGGGTCCCAGCTATGATCATCTCATTGATATATGGCAATGAAGAAAAGTTGTAGTTCCAATTTTTCTTCTTCTGTTTACTGTTAGGTTTTCATTTTGAATGATATCTGCTGTCTGGGGCTGGGCATGGTGGTTTACGCCTGTAATCTTAGCACTTGGGAGGGAAACGCAGACAGCAGGAATTCAAGGCCAGCCTTGGCCGGCTACACAGTGAGCTCTAAGGTTCAAGATGAGTGTGGGGTACATGAGATCCGGTCACAAAACAAAGCTCTTTTATTTCAATCAGTTGGGGACAATGACACAACCATTAGATACAATTATATCACAGATAAATACTTGTAAGAGTTGGTGAGTTCCAGTAATTTCCCTAGGGTCACAAAGCTAATTAGTGATAAAGGCAAGATTTGACCACTGTGAATGACACAGGTTGTGATCCCAGCACTTGGGAAGTGGAGGGAGGAAGAGGGAGAGAGAGAGAGAGAGAGAGAGAGAGAGAGAGAGAGAGAGAGAGAGAGAGAGAGAGAACCGGGAGTTCAAGGTCATCCTTCACTACTCAGTGAGCTTGAGGCCTTCCTGGGCTATATGAGACCCTATCTCAAAAGACAAGCAAACAAAAAGGATTTAAACCTAAGCCCCTCTGACTTTAAAGCTGCAGGCCCTCTATTAGACACTAAACTGATACTTTTGTGTTTGTTGTTTCAGGTTTGATGAAAAAGGCTTTGTTAAAATAATGGATGCAAATTTTATCCTGTGGGAAATCCATGGCAGGGATGACTATACCTTTAATAGTACTATGAAGCAGGTATGACATCATTGAATTTAAACAGAACTTAGCATGCAATTAATCACATTCTTTTGATTTTTTGATTTATATGTAAATTATCTAAAGGAAGTGAAACCAAACCAAAATAAGTAAAAGCGAGAACATCAACTCTATATTAAAGTCAATGACTACTGAGATTCATCTCTGGGGAAAAAAAAAAGATGTCCTATAAAACAGGCAGAAGAAAGGTTAAAAAAATAGAATAATGTAACAGCAGGATGATGTAATCATATATGAGTATTTCCTTTTCTGTTTAATGTTTAACTGTTTATAGCTCCGCCTTTTGCTTTAAGACATTAGTACTAAGTCAAATGGACGCCCTTTAGGCTCATCTTTGCCCGTGCCTTTGCGTCATTTGACCCCAATGACCGCAGCTTCAGTGTCTCCGCAGGTCGCTTCAATCCTCCAGGACCAGCTGATTGCAGCCTCCTGCGTGGTCTCCTAGCCCGCCTTTTGCAATCACTCTTTCCATGCCCATGGGCTCTTTTGTCTCGAAGGCTATAGTGCCTTTTAGAAGTTGACAGCAAGGATTTCCTAAAATTTCTTGAGATCTCAGGCTTAGAGAAAATCCCAGTGACTCTTTCTGTGACATTTTTTTCTCATTAGAGATTAATTATCTGAGATATACACCCACCTAGATGGCAACCGGGAAAACTGGACTACACTGGACCACTCTAAGAAATCAGTCTTTCAATCATAAAACCAAATAAATGCATTCTGTCACACATTTCCCTGGGTCATTCGGCATTCTATATGGAAGACCTTGTTGTCTACTTCTTCCCCAATGAAAAATCATTAAATTACTTGTGTGTATGTGTGTGAGTGTGTGTGTGTGTTTGTCCATTTGTATGGAGGTGCACATGATTACGTGTGTGTGTGGAGGTCAGAGGACAACCCTTTCTTCCATTGCATAGAGGCATTGCTGAGAAAAAAAAAGACTACATTTTCCAGACCCATTTTTATGGACCCATGACTGGTTCTCATGCCTGCAGTGTGAGCAGGAAGTCTATCTATCATTTCCCCATGGACCTCCATAATTCCTGCCACACTGGTTCATTGCAGCAGCAGCTGAGAACGGACTAGATAAGAACTGCAGGAAATTATCCAGGGGAAGAAAGTCAGGGAGCCACCATGTAAATGCCTGGCTTCCTAGTTCGTGCTTTAAGGAGAGCCATTCACAAGAAATGCGTAACCAGGGACAACTGAGTTAGGTTTTGTATAATCTAGAATTAAACTTTTGATTGGGTGTTACGGGACACACCTGCCATCCCAACACTTGGGAAATGGAGAAAGGAAGACCAATTCAAAGACATGTCTAACTATTTATCAAGTTGTAGGCTAGCCGGGGCTATCTCTGTCTCAAACAAACAAATGAGCCATTTTGTTTTAGTGGTAAAGCTCTTGTCTGGTGTGCTGTGTTAGATTCTTAATATCACAAGGTAGGCGTGGTGGCAGGCACCTTTAATTGCAGCACTCAGGGAGGGAGAAGCAGGTGGATCTCTGAGTTCGAAGCCAGCCTGATCTACAGACAGAGCAAGTTCCAGGACAGCCAGGGTTACACAGAGAAACCCTGTGTAATCAGAAAGTTTTTCTACCACCCACCAGTTCCCGAATAACCATGCAGAGAGTTATATCAATTATAAATGTTTGGCCAATGGCTCAGGCTTATTACTAGTTAGTGCTTACATTTAAATTAACCCATATTTCTTATCTATGCTTTGCCATGAGGTTTGTGGTTTGTTACCAAATTTTCTACATGTCTTGCTTCCTCGGCAGTTGGCAGGCATCTCCAGACTCTGCCCTTCTCCTGGATCTCTGCTTGGATTTCTGCCTAGCTCTATCCTGCCTTGCCATAGGCCATAGCAGCTTTACTTAAAAACCAATGAGAGCAACACATATTCACAACATACAGAAAGACATCCTATAGCAACCCTGTCTCGGAAAAAACAAATGAATAAACAAACAAGATTCCTAATATCACAAAACAAATAATCAGACTTTGATCACATCCATCCTTGTGAACAATAGAGACCTTGGATAACACAGCTTCTAGAATCAAATGTAAGTTCAGACATTGTAACATGAGGGGCTGGCTCTGCCTCCCCAGTGCTGGGCTTAAAGGTGTGTGCTACCACACCTTGAACTCAGAGATCCTTCTGTCTCTGCCTCCCAGGCATTGGATTTAAAGGCATGTACTACCACACCTTGAGGTCACAGAGGTCAATCTACCTCTGCCTCCCAGGCATTGGGATTAAAGGTGTGTACCACCATACCCAACTACTCTCTTTCTTTTTAACTTTAAGAACTTTAACTTTTAGCCTGCATATATTTTTAACACACTGTAAAACATTTAGAGGTTTTCTTTGTCTTTGAATCTCTCTTTACTGTATATCTCTCTTTTTCTGACCACATGAGCCTTTATCGAGAGAATTAAAGCCGTGGCTTTGGCTGGATCCAGCCCATTCCTTACCTTTCCAGCCTCCTGGCAGAGGTACTGGCTGTAGCCATTTTTATTGCCACAACTCTATGGCGTTTCAAGGTCCTTGCCAGCAAGCAAGCTGTGGCATTCTGCTCACAGACCACACTCAGTCAGACTGCCTGCCTGAAAGAGTCAGAGTTTGCCCTGGCAGGATGGCCCAGAAAGCCGTCATTTTAAAACAACGCAGCTTTTCATCAACACCGTTTAAGTTTTTCGTGGCAGGACCTCTTAATGAGCTGCAGGGTTTTGCAGCTAAAGCTGAGTCAGGAAGCCTCTCTTAGATGAGAGCACTTGCTTGCCTCTAGCAAGCAAAGCAGACCCGAGAAATTGCTGCTACCAAGAAAACATGCTTTACTCTATTCTTTCCCAAGCTTTCTCAAGGTTTCTGTGGATTCAGTTATCCACGTAGGCACCATCTGTAACATGAGGTTCGGCTTGTTGGGGTTTCTGTCCCACCCGGTACCCCACAACCGACAATTCCCAAAGAAAATAACACAGAGTCTACATTAGGTTATAAACTGATTGGCCCTTAGCTCTGGCTTCTTATTAGTCCTTGTAACTTATATCAGTCCATTATCGTTATCTATGTTAGCCACACAGCTCAGTACCTTTCTCAGTGTGACAGCTCACATGTTGCCTCTTCGGTGATCTGGGCAGGAATGGCAGAGGAAGCTTCCTGCTTCCCAGAATTCTCCTGTTCTCATTGCATCACCTCTACTTCCTGTCTGGTATTCCCACCTATCCTTCCTTCCTGCCTGGCCAATCAGTGTTTTATTAAAATACATGATTGACAGAATACAGGTAATTCTCCCACACCAAGACATCACAGCTCACCCCCAGTTATACAGCCCTCTTGCCAATCCTGCTCTTCCTTGACTTATTTGTCCTCACAAAACTGAGACACTATCATGTTGAACCCTTTGCTTCTCCCTCTTTGTCAATACCAGTTTTCTTCCCTTCTTTGTCTTTCCAGCTTAAGCTCCCTAGTTTATTCTGTCACTGGTTCTCTCCCCCAGGTGTAATTCCTGCACACTGTCATGGCAACTGTAAATGTGCATATTTCTTTTGCCCTGCCCATGCCTGTATCTAAGCAGTCAGTCATACACAGAGAACATACATGACAATGCCTGAAACTAGGATAGCTGGATCCTTCGACTAAAAGAAATTTCAATACAATAACCGACCATGTAAAACCAGTCTGTGAAGCTGTGCATCATTCTTACACGACTGGACTCCTCAGGGAGAGTCAGGCCCTCGTGAACTCGGCTGGGGGAACTGTGCCACCCTTCTTCAATGCCTGGCCTCCGCAGGTCCTAAAAGGCACTGGGAACACAGGCCACGGATGCTGTGACCCCCCTTTTGGCTGGCCACTGCAGGTCTGGGCATTCCCTGGGAAGCCCTGCTGGTTAAGCTGTGTCCCCCCTCTTCCACAGCTGAACTTCTCAGGTGTGGAAGGGAATGGGGAGCCTGGCCAGGGTTTCATTACCACCTTTGAATAGTGTATTTAAAGAGTGTATCCCCTCCAGAGCACATAAATGATTTACTTCATATAGGACACTTGATGAGGGAAAGACAGTACTGGGTGAACTGATAACCAAACACACACACGCACGCACACATACACACACACACACACACACACACACACACACACACACACACAGAGAGAGAGAGAGAGAGAGAGAGAGAGAGAGAGAGAGAGAGAGAGAAGTGAAGGGGCTGGAGAGATAGCTCTGTGGTTAAGAGTGTTGGTTGCTCTAGCAGAGGATTTGAGGTTCAGTTCCCAGCTCCCACATGGCAACTCACACACACTTGTAACTCCAGTCCCAGGGGGTCTGATCCCTTCTTCTGACCACTGTGGGCACTGCATACACTGGTACACAGACATACATTCAGGCTAACACTAATACTCATTTTTTTAAAAAAGTAAAATGAAACTCTCACCTAATGTAATGCAGACAGTAGTTCAAAATGTATCTATGGTCTAAATTTAAGACCCCAAACTATAAACTCTTAGAAGAAAATGAATGATAAAAATCATCCCAACATTGGTCTGGGCAATGATTTATTGGCTATGATTCAAATTACAGATGAAAGAATGAGAGAGGACAGGAAAAGAAGAGGGGGGAAGAGAACAGAAGAAAAGAGGGGAAGAGGGAGAGGAAAAATGGGAGACAGAGGAAGAGAAGAAGGGCAGAAAAGAGGGAAGAGAAGGGGAAGGGAAGTGAAGGGAAGAGAAGGGAAGGGGAGGGAAGGGAAAGGAAGACAAAGTGGATGTCATGAAAATCTAAAAATTGTGTGTATCAAAAGACACAAGAGCTGGGCAGTGGAGGCTCACGCCTTTAATCTCAGCACTCGGAAGGCAGAGGCAGGCAGATCTCTGTGAGTTCGAGGCCAGCTTGGTCTACAAGAGCTAGTTCCAGGACAGTCTCCAAAGCCACAGAGAAACCCTGTCTCAAAAAGAAAAGAAAAAGAAAAAGAAAAGAAGAAAAGAAGAAAA